GCAGAAGGATAAAGTTGGAACACTTCCGCCACCAGAATGGAAGCTTCAGCATTGAAACTTACGCGGAAATGTTTTATTCGGCGTATAAAAGGAGGTCAAATGTAACGGGCATGTCATTTTTCGCCACCTTGCAGAAGTTTCTTTGGCGCTGTTTGGCTTGGAGGGGCATTTGACACTTTCAGTAGTTCTTTTTCTTGGTTCGTGTTGAATAGCAGGTGTCCTGTTGGGGAAATCTGTACACTTCTATAAATCATCGAAACACTGCAAGTGCGCCTTTACCAGGATTACAGGATTTTAAAGGTCTTCACAGGTGGCCTGTATGTGCCTTGTTGAGTACCATTCAGTGCCCCACGAAGATGAAGTGGGCCGTTTTCTTTTTCAACTAGACTACACTATATTTGCTGAGCTGATCCAGTAAGAGTTAGAACTAACCTGTCCAGTTGGACTGTTCTCCGTAACTGGCAGTTCCCTTGGAATGCCATACACAGTTGCACTTGATGAGAAGACAAAGTTTTTGACATTATACTTTTGGCACATCTAAATGCTGATTTACATAATTTTCGAAAACCACCCGAGATGTATAAAAAAAGAAGAAGAAATAAAGGAAAAATGCTCACTTTAATAAGGTTAAGACTAGCGACGAGGTTATTAGAGTAGTATTCATATGGCATTGCAACAGATTCTCCGACAGCTTTTAAAGCTGCCAGATGGATGAGGCCATCGAAATTCCCCTGGAAAGTGAGAAGAGAATTCTGAGAACCAATGCTAGCTTTCATAAAATCAAGATTAGAACCTCTGTGGGCTAGCAGCAACAAAACGTAGAATACGGAATACGGAAACAACCTTACTGACGCTGTCCCTCCCAAAACCAAAACATCGTATTTGGAAGAGCACTGCTCATGTGCGACTCGAAATAATCATACCTTCGCGAAAACGGCGTCCAGGTGCTCCAAATCACAAACGTCACATTCCTCGAAAGGAATCGGTTTGCCAACTAATTCAGCGACTCGTAGCAAAGAAACAGCATTTCCTTTTCCATCTGAAGCAAATAAGTTTCTCATCGATTTACTACCTCAACACATTGTCGAACAGCTGTTGCCATTGTTTCATGTGTGCGCCGCGTGTAATCACACCTTTTTCCACTGCTGACAAAAACCTGTCCCACTCA